TAATTATTTATTTTATTCCTTTTATTTATTTATTTTATTGTTGGCGAAGAAGCATTTTCTATTTTGCTCATTTGTTCAGAAAAAGGCGCATGCAGCAGCAAAAGGAGCTGTCCACTTTTGCTGCTGCTGCTGCTGCTGCTGCTGCTGCTGCTGCTGCTGCTGCTGCTGCTTTATTTCCTTTTTATAAATAAAAAATCCAATTATTATTCTTGTGGATTTATTCCTTTGCTGCTTCTTTGCCTTTCTCCCAAATTTGCTGCATGCAAGACAGTCGCAGCAGTTCGTCCTTGCTGCTGCTGCTGCTGCTGCTGCTGCTGCTGCTGCTGCTGCAGGCCCACAGCAGCAGCTTCTTGCTGCTGCTGCTTCCGCCTGCGCTGCTGCTGCCTCCTGCAGCGGAGTTTCTCGCTGCTGCTGCGTCCTCGTGCGCTGCCGCTTGCTGCTGCTGCTGCGCTGCAGCAGCAGCAGCAGCAGCAGCAGCAGCAGCAGCAGCAGCAGCAGCAGCAGCAGCAGCAGCAGCAGACAGAGCAGCAGCAGCAGCAGCAGCAGCAGCAGCAGCAGCAGCAGCAGCAGCAGCAGCAGCAGCAGCAGCAGCAGCTACCTGTGCAGCAAATTGCCGCGCATTTTCAAAGAAGGGTTTAAAAGGTTTCTCCTGCATTGGGCAAAAGTCTTTTTTAATGCCAAACACTCCAAAGGCACTTCTCGAAAGTCTTCATTTCGCATGCAGTCCCAAAACGAGCCCCCCGCGCGCATGCACGGCGAACTCTGCAGCAGCAGCAGCAGCAGCAGCAGCAGCAGCAGCACACAACTCCTGCTGCTGCTGCTGCTGCTGCTGCTGCTGCTGCTGCTGGGGGTGCGGGTGGTGGGAGGGGTGCTGCTGCTGCTGCGGGTAGGGGTGCTGCTGCTGCTGCTGGTAGGGGTGCTGCTGCTGCTGCTGCTGCTGCTGCTAGTAGCGTTGCTGCTGCTGCTGCTGCAGCAGTGCTGCATCGCGAGATTAAATGTGTCAGTATTCTTTTAAAAGCTGATTTGGGGGGCCCGAAGTTGCAGGGTTTAGAATTTAGGGTTTAGGGTTTAGGGTTTAGGGTTTAGGCTGCTACGCAATTTCCAGAGGGCCCCAGGGCTGAGCCAGGTGCGGCATTAAACCCTAAACCCTAAACCCTTGAAGTTCACTGAACGCTGCGAATGTCCTTCGCCACTAAACCCTAAACCCTAAACCCTAAACCCTAAACCCTAACCACTGACCTGCATGCAAGCCACAAGATCGTCGCGAATCTTCGAGCAAGAATTCGAGGCCTCGCGGTGCTCCGCCTCGGGGCCCACGCGCAGAGACATTCCCACCCAAACCCTAAACCCTAAACCCTAAACCCTAAACCCTAAACCCTGATCCGCCTGAGGCTGTCGGGGGCCTCCTGCGCCGCACAGAGAGCAGCAGCAGCTGCAGTGGTTTGGAATTCCAGAAGAAGCAGCAGCATCAGGGTTTCTTCAGCTCAGCTCTGGCCTTGGGCTCCTAGGGTTTAGGGTTTAGGGTTTAGGGTTTAGGGTTTAGGGTTTAGGGTTTAGGGTTTAGGGTTTGGGCTCACGCGGACTCAGCTGTTTTCCCAATTCCGAATGAAGGCTGAAGAATAAAATGAGAAGAGGAAATGGATGAAGTGTACAGACAGCAGAGTGAAAAGTTGCGCGCCTCTTCAGGAATTCAGAAAAGACGAAAGAAGTGCCATTTCCGGTCTTTTTTGTTATTTTTTTGAGTAAAATAAATAAAAATAATAAATTATTTGTTTATTTCGGAAAAGAAAACGAAAAGAAGTTCATTTTGGCTTCTTTCAAGCTGCTTCCTTCGCCCGGGGGCCCCCGCCGGGTTGGGGGCCCCCTCTTCGTCGGGGGCCCCCAAGAAAGCCCTGCAAATGCCTTTTTTTGAACTAAAAGAATGTAAAAAGATCATTTAATTTAATTAAAAGGAAAAAGCCCAAAAAGAAAACAAAAAAATTAAATTAAATTAAAAAAGAAAAAGCGACAACGGCAGGATTCGAACCTACGCGGGCAGAACCCAATGCCTTAGCAGGGCACCGCCTTAACCACTCGGCCACGTTGTCGAATATGTTCTGAAAAGAACTTCATTTTCATTTAATTTAATTCATTTATTTTAATTAATTTAATTTAATTTGTTTAATTTAATTCATTTAATTTAATTTATTTAATTTAATTTGTTTTATTTAATTTGTTTTATTTATTTATTCTTTTCTTCCTTCGTTTCAATTTGTTGCACTTAAGTGAAATACTTCTCCCGCTGTGTCTGCGGCTGCCAGCGCCGCAGCGCGAAATCCATAAAAAAATGTCTTGTGCTCAAAATGGAAAATTAAATGCAAAAGATTTTATTTAATTTGAAAAAGAATTTAAAACAAAACTTTGAAAGGAAATTAAATCCCCAAAGAATTGTCTTTATCTCCGGCCTTTGCTGCTGAAAAGAAAGAACAAAAAAACATTTTTAAAAATTAAAATTGAAAAAAATCAACAAGTACGAAGACAACGTGGCCGAGTGGTTAAGGCGGTGCCCTGCTAAGGCATTGGGTTCTGCCCGCGTAGGTTCGAATCCTGCCGTTGTCGTTTTGGATTTTTAATTAATTTCGAATTTCCAGAAGGCCATTTGCTGCTTCTCTTTTGCTGCTGCTAGCTAGCTGCGAGCTCTTTGCTGCTGCTAGCTAGCTGCGAGCTCTTTGCTGCTGCTAGCTAGCTGCGAGCTCTTTGCTGCAGCTAGCTAGCTGTGAGCTACTTGCCAGAAAGCAATTTGCTGCTGCTCTTCTGCTGCAGCTAGCTAGCTGTGAGCAACTCGCCAGCAAACAACTAGCTGCTTGCTGCAGCTAGCTAACTTTGAGCTATGCAGGAAGCAAGAAGCTGCTTCTCTTTTGCTGCAGCTAGCTAGCTGTGAGGTAGTAGCTATAAAGCAATTAGCTGCTTCTGTGTTGCAGCTAGCTAGCTGTGAACAACAAGCCAGAAAGCAATTAGCTACATGTCTTTTGTTGCAGCTAGCTAACTCTGAGCTGCTTATGACTCTATGGGGTCTTTTTAAATCCAGGCGAACCCTGAGGCAGACACGACGCAGCAGCACAGACACCCGCAGCAGCAACAGCAGCAACAGCAGCAGCAGCATGAGCTGCAACAGCAGCAGCTGCTGCTGCAGCTGCTACACTACACGCCTCAACCTTTTGCACACTCGAAAATATTTGGAGTGGTAGAAAACTGCCCGTGAGCTGCAGCGCCGAAGGCCGCTTTCCGCATTTTGCTGGTTGGCTGCAATCTGCTGCCCCTCGGGCGTGTTTAGGGTCTGGGGTTTAGGGTTTAGGGTTTAGGGTTTAGGGTTTAGGGATTAGGGGAGAATGTTTCTTTGCATGTCTTCCGAAGCGGAGCAGCACGGGGCTTTGCACTGTAGCTCAAGTATTCACAAGGCCCACGCATGCAGGCCAAAAAGAAGTGCAAATAAATGTGCACATGGCCTAATTGCTATTTCTTTTCTTGTTGTCTTTTGTCTCCAACTTCTTTTTTTCAAAAAAAAATTCCAACTTTCCATCTTCTTCAAAGAACCCCCAACGCCCCACTAGCAGCACAGCTTCTGCCTTGCTTTGCGTCTGCTTCCGAGGGAGCTGCGGGTCTTCTCAGTGTGCAGGCTGAAGCTCTTCGCAGCAGCAGCAGCAGCAGCATCAGCAGCAGCAGTATCAGCGGCAGCAGCAGCAACAGCAACAGCAGAAGCAGCAGTAACAGCAGCAGCAGCAGCAGCAGCAGCAGAAGCGGGTCCTATGTTTTATTAGGCTGAGGGGGAGAGCCCAGAGGCAGGAGTTGGAGGCCCTCTGGCAGCCATTTGGACTTCTTCGATTTTGGGGCTTTGCTGCATGCAGAGCGAGTGGGGTCTAAGCCCCAAATATTTCTGAGGGCTTTTTTATTTTTCTCTTCCCAGCTTCAGAACTATTACTCCTTGCAGCAAATTAAAGCCATTTTAACTCCGAATTTCCGAAAATGAATCTTTTCTTTTCCCCCTTCTCCCCAGCACCAAAGCCCTCTGGCCCTGGCTGCCAGAGGGTTTAAAACTCCCTTTTAGGGTTTAATCTTTTGAGTTTTTTTAATTATCCTTCTTGATTTGATGACCCTGAAGAGCTTTTCTGGGCTACACTGGAGTGGGCCAAGAGCTCCCGGGGCTGAGAAATCGGGAAAAGAAGTTTGAGGAAAAAAGTTGCAAAAGTGATGAAAGCTCACTAAAAAGATATATTAAACTGAAGCAAAACAAATCAAAACTTTGCCCGTGCTTAAAGACCAACATATAGAAAAAAAATCATCTTCTCTTCCTCACAAGGAAAGAATGAGTTCCTCAGCTGGAGGCAGCCGCCGCAGCTGTGACGTGCTGCTGTTGCTGCTGTGCTGCTGCTGCTGCTGTTGCTGCTGCTGCTGCGGCGTTGTCTGGGGGCCATCTCCTGCTGCAGCGGCTAGCTGCCCGCGCTGCAGCGGCTGACTTGGGGCGGCCGTGGGGTGTCTGTACACCTGACGTACTGCGGGCAGGAATGCCACAGCGCATGCAGCGCTTCTGCTGCTGTACAGAATAGTGGAAAACAAAACTATTTCTGCAAGAAGGGAAGTTCAAATAGAAAGCAAAACCTTTCTGCAAGAAATGAAGTTCAAATAAAAAACAAAACAAAGAATAAGACCCGTAGAGGCTGGGGAGCTCCGTCCAGATCGAGAGAGTGGAACAGACTGTTAGAGTTCAGATACTTCAGTTTGCTTTCCGGAAACAAATTATTCTTTTTACATTTTTTGAAGTACTTTCCGCCCGCACAAGAAACTTGCTGGGCCCTAATGCCCTCAAGTTTCTGCAGTTAGGAATTTTAAGCTATCAAATTATCTCATATTTTTGTATTTAATTTGGTGGCTGAATCTCCGCTAAAGCAATATTATAAAACGGCATAAATGTTCCCAGTATTAAACTTGAATTAATATTGAAAAAGATTTCTTTTTTCAGACACTTTGAGGGGCCCCAGTAGGCCCCCTTCAGGGGCAGTATTTGCCTGCAAAAGCACTTGAGGGCAGATGGGGGCCCCCAAAGGTACTTTTGCTGCAGCATTTTGTTTGCTGCTGCGGTGCAGCAATAAGCTTCATATGTATAAAAAATATATAACCGGCTAGCTAGCTCTATTGGAGTGAATGGCTGACAAGTGCAACAGGAAAATGAACGCAGCAGCAGCAGCAGCAGCAGCAGCATCAGCACAAGTAGCAGCAGCACCACCAGAAACGGCAGCAGCAACAGCAGCAGCAGCAGCAACACTTCCACTACGAGTAACAGCAGCAACAGCAGGACCAGGAGCAGCAGCAGCAGCAGCAGCAGCAGCGAGTTTTGGCCCATGCAGAGCTTGCCCCCTGGCTCTCTCTGGTGGTCTTTTGCTGCGCTCGAAGACAAAAAGATTAAAAGAAATGCTTTCATGAGAAGCAAAGAGAAGGAGACAGAATGAAAGAAAAGCATTTAATCAGAAAAGAAAGATAAGGAAATAAAAATTGGAGGAAATCGACAACGTGGCCGAGTGGTTAAGGCGGTGCCCTGCTAAGGCATTGGGTTCTGCCCGCGTAGGTTCGAATCCTGCCGTTGTCGCTTTTTCGAATTTAAAACATTTAAAAAGTTTAAAGAGAATTTAAACAACAATTCAGAGTAGAGGGAGACCAGTAGAGGAGCCTGGAAGCTCGAGCTAGCTGCTGCTGCCTGCGCCTTGCTGCTGCTGCTGCTGCTGCTGCTGCTGCTGCTGCATGCGGCGAGCTATAGCGAGCTGCAGCAGAAGCACAAACAGAAAGAATTCGGCTTGTCAGACACAGCAGCAGCAGCCAGAGGCAGCAGCAACTCAGCTAGCAGCAGAAGCAGCAGCTGCTGCAGCAGCACGAAGTCGGGGTGTCTCCAAAGTTTACAGGGCATACAAATGGAAGCTGTGTAAAGACGCAACAGCAGCAGCAACCGCAGCAGCAGCAGACACAGCAGTAAAAGCAGCAGCAGCAGCATTCGCAGCAACAGCATCTGCAGCAGCAGCAGCCGTCCAGCTTTGCAAACCCTAGACTCTTTAGGTGCATGTACACTGCAGCAAGGAGGGTACGCCAGCTGTCAGCCCGGAATTCTTCAGGGAAAAGAATTCCACATTTAAAAAGAGTAAATAAAACAAATGAAGAAAGTAATAATAAATTAAAACTATTTCATTATAGTAAAGCCAAGAGCAGCAGATTAGTAGCTCACTCTTGGAGGGTTTAGGGTTTCGTCATCCATGATATTCACGCTGCACACGACTCAAGTGTTCAGGAATTAGGGTTTAGGGTTTAGGGTTTAGGATTTGGCTTTGACGGGGTTTAGCGCCGCCGGAGTAAACCCTAAACAGGGAGGTCTGCTGCGACTGCAGCAGCAAATCCTTTTTGGCTGCTGCTGCAGCAGCAAACCCTCTTTGCTGCTGCTGCAGCAGCAAACCCTCTTTGCTGCTGCTGCTAAATAGAAAATGAAAAGACAATTTTGCATGCAGCCCCAATTTCTGTTTTTCAAAATTTTTGAAGTTCTTAAAGACGCTGCTTTTGGTTTACTTTCTGCTGTAGAGAAAAGAAACAGCAATTCAGAAAAGTGAATAAATATACCATTTAATTGATTTGAAATAAATAGATATTCAACAAAGTAGACAAATAAACTAATTAATTAATTTAAAAAAAAGTAAATTATGAAGAGGTAGGACAACTCGTTGGAGCGGGCTCGCCAAAGAAGAAGAAAAGGAAAAAGCAAAGATGTCGAGAGTTCTTTAGAATGGAAGGAACTTAAGTGTTTAGGGTTTAGGGTTTAGGGTTTAGGGTTTGGCCTTTGTGGGGTTAAAATGCCAAAACACTGAATAAGAGAAAAAGTGTTTAAAAAGTGAACTATCTTTTGCTATTTGGATTTGCTGCGCTTTTGCTCAGCTGCATGCAGAAGGGGAAAAAGTAAAAAGTGAAAAAATAACGCGAAACTCTAAATTAGGGTTTAGGGTTTGGGGCTGTGTAGGGTTTGGGGCTGCAGTGGAGCTGGGGTTTGCTAGGGTTTAGGAATGCAGGACTAAACCCTAATTCGGGGAGTTTGCTGCGGCCTTCAGTTGCAAACCCTTGAGCACCCGCCTGAAACCCTAAACCCTAAAGTGTAAGTCACGGTGCGCCTCAAACCCTAAACCCTAAACCCTAGGTCTCGGTGCTGAAGCACTGGCACACTGGTGACTTTGTGAGGCAGTAGCCCTCTAGGGTTTAGGGTTTAGGGTTTAGGGTTTGGAATGGGGCGTTTAAAGTTGGCTGCCCCGCTGCGAGGGTTTAGAGTCGAATGTGCGGAAGCACTGGCTCGACGTTTGCGCGTTAGGGTTTAGGGTTTAGGGTTTAGGGTTTGGGATGCGCGCGGCTGGCAGAAGCGCTGCTGCCTGCGGTGTGTTTGCGCCCCGAGGGGCCAAATAGTACTTTAATTGAAATGGAAATATAAAAAGAAGAAAAAGAAAAGAAGAAAAGCAAAAGTGACTTCGGAAGCCACGCGGGAGGCCCCGTGGCGGCGAAGAGCGGTGGCCGAGGTGTACATACACCCGAATGTCGGGCTCAAAAAACGCCGTTTCGACTCTTTTTTCGCTCTTTTGTTGTTTAATTCTTTCAAATTAGTTTATTTTTATCGAAAAAAAGCGGAAAAGTCTTCAAAACCGCTAAAAGAGAGGCTCGGGAGTCCGCTTCGCGCCGCCAGCCGTAACACACTGGACCTTCGTCAAGCTCACTGATCCCCCTTTTTGTCAATTAGGGTTTAGGGTTTAGGGTTTAGTTTTAGGGTTTGCAATTTGCTGCCCACCTCAGAGTTCTCTTTCTTCCGGGCGTACGTACACCCTGGCCTCCAGCCGCCTCCGACCCGCAGCACACGTCGATCGCAGCAGCAGCAGCAGCAGCAGCAGCAGCAGCAGCAACAGCAGCAGCAGCAGCAGGCAACAGCGGCAGCAGAAGCCGCAACAGCAGCAGCAGCATCAACAGCAGCAGCAACAACGGCATCGGCAGCAGCACGCGAAGCCAGCGGCTCGTGTCGCTGCAAGCCAAACCCTAAACCCTAAACCCTAAACCCTAAACCCTCGGCGCACAGCCCAGAGCCATTGGAGGTCGCACTGTGCCCCTTGTATGCCAGCCGCGTTGCCCACGCCGCGGCCTAGGGTTTAGGGTTTAGGGTTTAGGGTTTAGGGTTTAGGGTTTAGGGTTTAGGGTTTAGGGTTTAGTGGGGGTTTAGGGTTTAGGGTTTAGGGTTTAGGGTTTAGGGTTTAGGGTTTAGGGTTTAGGGTTTAGGGTTTATGCAGGGCGCGGGAAACACCCCCGCGTTGGTGAACAGTTTGTTGACTTCGCTGTGCAACATTTCGCCCTTCTTTAGGGTTTAGGGTTTAGGGTTTAGGGTTTTAGGGTTTAGGGTTTAGGGTTTAGGGTTTAGGGTTTAGAGCGAGGATGTTTGACTTTTGGAGCGTCTTCCGCGACAGCAGCAGCACAGTTCGAGACTCCGACACTTCTGCTGCTGCTGCTGCTGCTGCTGCTGCTGCTCCTGTTGCTGCTTTCTTCGGAGGCCTTTTTAAGCAGCCCTCGGCCTCAGACCCTTCCTCCTGGAATGACTACACCACAGGTTAGGGTTTAGGGTTTAGGGTTTATGGTTTAGGGCTTTCAAGGGTTCTCTGTGGACTCGAGGGAAGTGCATAGTTTAGGGTTTAGGGTTTAGGGTTTGTTTTCTGGAGGCGCTTCGCGTTGAGGGTTTAGGGTTTTGGGGGATTAGGGCTAGCGCATAGCCAGCATACGAAGGGCTTGCTCCCCTAGGGTTTAGGGTTTAGGGTTTAGGGTTTAGGGTTTAGGGTTTAGGGTTTGTGTGCAGGTTACAGTTTGCCGGCGGAGGCAGCAGAAGTGCTGCAGGGGAAGCCGCCAGGTGTAGAGACACCAGCAGCAGCAGCAGCAGCAGCAGCAATAAAAGACGCAGCAGCAAAAAGAACAGAAGAAGAAAAGATAGACGCGGAAGGCATTGACGCCTGGACAGACACCAGCAGCAACAGCAGCAGCAGCAGCAGCAGCAGCAGCAGCAGCAGCAGCAGCAGCAGCAGCAGCAAAGTGGCGGACACGAGGTACTACGAAGTGTTGGAAGTTTCGCCAAATGCCTCTTTTGCAGAAATCAAAAAAGCTTATTATCGACTGGCCCTGAAGTGCCACCCCGACAAAAACCCCGGAGACCCCGAGGCCCACAAGAAGTTCCAGGCCATCGGTAAACCCTAAACCCTAAACCCTAAACCCTAAACCCTAAACCCTAGCCCTACGCCCTAGGTGCCCTGGCCGCTGGCGCGCAGGGGCGAGGGCCCGAGAGGGAGCGCCGAAACCCTAAACCCGCGGTCCTAGGGTTTAGGGTTTGGGGTTTAGGGCGGTGGTTTCCGCGGGTGCCGTCCCTAAACCCTAAACCCTAAACCCTAAACCCTAGAACGGAAGAGCACCAAACCCTAGACGCTGAAGCCCCAGCCCAGTCTAAACCCTAAACCCTAAACCCTAAACCCTAAACCCTAAACCCTTCAGAGTGGCTCTCGAGCGGCGGTTGGCGGCTCGCGTGCCTCTGCTGCTGCCGCGGGAAATCTGGCCCGCTAGGGTTTAGGGTTTAGGGTTTAGGGTTTAGGGTTTAGGGTTTAGGGTTTAGGGTTAAGAGTGTGTGTGTGTGTGTGGGCTGCTGCTGCACCTGGCGCTGGCCGCCGCTCGCCCGCCCCGCCGCTACCCGCGCGCAAACCCCAACCCCAAACCCCAAACCCTAAACCCTAAACCCTAAACCCTAAACCCTAAACCCTAAACCCTAGGAGAGGCTTACCAAGTTTTGAACGACCCCAAGAGAAGAAAAGATTATGACACTTTTGGAGTTAGTGCTACAAAGACAATAAACTTCATAGACCCTGCTTTGTTCTTCATGATGCTTTTTGGCTCGGAACAGCTGGACCCCTACACCGGTAAACCCTAAACCCTAAACCCTAAACCCTAAACCCTAAACCCTAGGGGCTGCTGGGCGGGGAGGTCTCCCGGAGGTTCGGGGCCCTGCGTGGGCGCAGGCGCGGGCGCTGCAGGAGGGGTTGTTGGCGAGCTGCAGCTGCTAGGGTTTAGGGTTTAGGGTTTAGGGTTTAGGGTTTAGGGTTTAGGGTTTAGGGTTTGTGGGCGCAGGCAAGCTCAAGATGGCGAAGCTGCTGGAAGTTTTGACCCAAGACGACTTCATGTCCACCGTCTCGGGAGTAAGCCCTAAACCCTAAACCCTGGGTCCCAAACCCTAAACCCTAAACCCCAAACCCTAAACCCTAAACCCCAGACCCTCAGTCCCAAGCGCCAAACCCTAAACCCTAAACCCTAGCGCCTCCATTCCGAGCGGCAGACGCTGCTTGACCGCCGCAAACCCTGGCCCCTCCCTCCCCCCCTCCACCCCCCAACCCCAAACCCTAAACCCTAAACCCTAAACCCTAAACCCTAATTCGGCGCTTCAGGGCGGCAAGGAGGGTTTGGACTTGCGGGAGGGAATTATGAAAGCTTTGGAAGAAGATCAAAAAAAAAGAGAAGTTTCTTTGGCTTTGCAACTTCGGGAAAAAGTGCAGAGTTTTGTGGAGGGAAATGAGGAGGTTTGGAAGCAGCAAATGCGCCACGAAGTCCGCAGTCTTTGCAAGGTCAGGGCGAGGGTTTAGGGTTTAGGGTTTAGGGTTTAGGGTTTAGGGTTTAGGGTTTAGGGTTTAGGGTTTAGGGTTTGGGGGTTTAGGGTTTAGGGTTTAGGGTTTAGGGTTTAGGGTTTAGGGTTTAGGGTTTAGGGTTTAGGGTTTATGCAGGGCGCGGGAAACACCCCCGCGTTGGTGAACAGTTTGTTGACTTCGCTGTGCAACATTTCGCCCTTCTTTAGGGTTTAGGGTTTAGGGTTTAGGGTTTTAGGGTTTAGGGTTTAGGGTTTAGGGTTTAGGGTTTAGGGGGGTTTAGGGTTTAGGGTTTAGGGTTTAGGGTTTAGGGTTTAGGGTTTAGGGTTTAGGGTTTAGGGTTTATGCAGGGCGCGGGAAACACCCCCGCGTTGGTGAACAGTTTGTTGACTTCGCTGTGCAACATTTCGCCCTTCTTTAGGGTTTAGGGTTTAGGGTTTAGGGTTTTAGGGTTTAGGGTTTAGGGTTTAGGGTTTAGGGTTTAGACCACTGCGAGAATAGTGACTGCGAAGGCCTCCAGGTGGCGCTTCACGAGGGGCAGTTTGGAAGACAGCGCAGCCAAACGTGGCGCGGTACTACGCGGACGCGAACGTAAACCGCCCGAGGCAGTATTGGGATTAGGGAGGCTAGAGGGCGAGGGTTTGGGCTAGACTGGTGCAAGAATTGGCGAAGCAAAAGATCGACTCTCTTTTGGAGAAACCATCGTGGAGTCTCTGGGCTGGGCCTACGCAAACTTCGCCGCGGCCTATTTGGGAGAAGTCCAAACTTATTGGGGTTTGGGGGCCACAGTGGCCAACATTCAGGCCACAGGCAGAGGCATCGGTAAACCCTAAACCCTAAACCCTAAACCCTAAACCCTAAACCCTAAACCCTAAACCCTGAACTGTAGACCCTGGGGGGCGTTGGGGTGCTGGGGGGCGCTGGGCGCCCAGGCGACGGGAGAGAAGCGGCTGGGAGAAGTAAAGTGGTGTTTTATGCTTGCCAGCTCTAAACCCTAATTTAGGGTTTAGGGTTTAGGGTTTAGGGTTTACTGTAGATGCGCCGCGCAGCCAGCAGACGCCCACAGACCTTTCGACATTTAGGGGCAACACCAAGTTCAGGCAGAGGCTCTCAGAAACCCTAAACCCTAGGCCCTAAACCCTAAAACCTAAACCCTAAACCCTAAACCCTAAACCCTAAACCCTTGAGGCGCGAGTCCTTCGTTTGGTTTTCTCGCCTCAGTTCCGCCGCGCACTCTGCGTCTTCCCCTCAAGGAATGAAATAATCTTTTCACCATTTATTTATTTATTTATTTATTTATTTATTTATTTATTTATTTATTTATTTATTTATTTATTTATTTTTATTTTTATTTTTATTTTTATTTTCAGGAAACACTCTGGCAATGGCCAAGTCGATGGTCCAAGCTGCTGTTGCTGCAACAGATATTCAGCAAAGACATGAACAAAAAAAAGAAGAGGGAAACTTGCCTAATAGACTCGACACGCAAGACGTAAACCCTAAACCCTAAACCCTAAACCCTAAACCCTAAACCCTAAACCCTAATTCCTAGGCACTGGGCCCTGGGCCGTAGACTTAGATATTCAGCAAAGACATGAACAAAAAAAAGAAGAGGGAAACTTGCCTAATAGACTCGATACCCAAGACGTAAACCCTAAACCCTAAACCCTAAACCCTAAACCCTAGGCGGTAGACTCAGATACTCAACACTAAACACTAAACCCTAAACCCTAGTCTTAAATGCTCAGCAGGGACACGAGCATCGTAAGAAGGAACTTCACCATACAGATTCGACAC